CTTCCTTCCTCTCTTCCTTCCTTTCTCTTTCTTTCTTTCTTTCTTTCTTTCTTTCTTTCTTTCTTTCTTTCTTTCTTTCTTTCTTTCTCTCTTCTTTCTTTCTTTCTTTTTTCTTTCCCCCAATTTATACTTCCTTGACTAATGATGAAATGAAATGTCTTGTCCAATCTTTATTGCCCTACTGAGTTTCTTCTTTAGTGGCTTGTCTAATTTTGCCCCACCTTTTTCCTTTGGTTTTTATTACTAGACCTACAAACATAAGTACCAAAAAATTATAAAATATAATTAAGCAACATGTGATTAATGTAAGCATGGCCTATGAGGTCAAAAGATAACAAGGGGTATCACTCAAGCTTTGTATCCAAGAGCTTCAGAGTGGTGAGCTTGGCTCTTAGTAAGATCATTTAGCAGCTTTGCCTCCCTTTCCTGCAAGACACAAGCTACACAGAACACATGAAGACTATTCAAACTGCTGTCTACTCCTGACACTTGCTCCTTCTGCCACTTCTGGTCCCAGCCATTTCATTTGTATTTGATTGTTCCTTAGAAGAGAAATACAAATGCTAATGCCATGCTTGTATCATTTCCTCCTCCAATCATGGAAATCACCAATCATGTCAGTTCCTCAGTTTTCCACTCAGAATGGATTTCTCCCCTCCCTCTGCCATGTCTGCTGCATCTGTTTCAGACAAGCCTGCTCTGCTACCAATCCTGTCTCCCTCATTTACTCACTAATTCTAACATTCTTTTGTTCCCACACAAATATTTTCTGAGCTTCTACTACATGTCGGGCTTGGAGGTAAGGATTTGAGAATGGGTTCCCGGACACTTTTGCTGGTCTCTGAGATCTTCTCATTTTGTGGGATAGACAGACCGGAAGCAGATCACAATACCGTGTGGCAAGAGAAAGGGGAGCAGAGGCCTGTGAGAGGCACTGGACCCAAACCCAGTGAACCAGCTCTCAGGAGGACTTTTGCAATTAGGACAAATGAGCTGAGGAAAGGTAGGGGAGGTGCCATTGCAGGCCTTGCTGAGGTCCAGGAGACACCAGAGAGTGGGCACAACATAGGAAGATAAGGGTCAGCTGTTCTAGTGAGCATAGGATTTTATCCAAGGATCAGTGAGGGGTGTCAGCAGAAGAGTGTTGTACACAGACTTACTCAAGATGGGACACTGTTTACTGGGCAGAAAGTGAATTCTGAGACCAAGGATCAAGGTGGGGAGGAGAGTTAGGAGGTTGCAGTGGTCAAGTAAGTAGGCACCTGCTGATGGAGACCCCAATAAGAGGGAGTAGCAGGGATGGAGAGAAGTGGACAGACTCCAGAAATAATGAGGAAGTGTGTTGTAAATGATGTGGAGACTGGGAATGGGGAAGAGGGAACAGGAGGGCCAGAATGAGTCAGGCATTGAGTTGGGCAAGTACGTGGATTTTCTGTAATCTATTGATGTTGGCACAAGAGGGAACAGTAGGCTGGGCTCAGGTTCCTCAAAGATTCCCAGGGTGGCTCTGTGAATACACACAGCAGGGCCATTGAACAGTGGCTGTGCCAACATCACATGAGGATGGATTTGATGTAGAAGATAAGAAAAAGAGAGATAAGTTGGTAGATGGTGACAGTAATGAATAAGCCTGAAAAGAGTGCAGAAGAAAGCCTGAGGAGCAAGTTAGGTATTGGCTTGAATGAACTTCAGTTATCCATATCATGAGGACAAGTGGTGTTTCGCTAAACCCATCTGAAGACCCCTGGGCTGAAGATGTGAGTATGGGAATTGTTACCTTCATGTGATATATATAAAGCCAAGTAGCTGGAGGAGACCTCTGAAGTAATACAGAGAGGTGCCTAGAACTGATCCCTGGAGAATTTTCACCACTTGGTGGTGTGGCAAAGACCCCAAAGGAGATGGAATGGGAGTCTGTAGACACCCATGGGCAAGTGGTATCGTGAGAGGGAGGAGGAAGAGGAAGTGAAATTGAAGGTGTAACAGAGAGGCAGATTTGGGAGCCAAGACCTTGCGTAGAGAAGAGGCCCGGAGCGGGACTGTGCCACCCAGGGAGAGCTGGGGACAGCTGGAGAGAGGACTGATGTTCAGACAGGCACAGAGGGAGAGGACCTGAAGGGACACAGAGAGGAAGATGGAGGCTGAAGTGCAGCAGAAGAGGACAGGGGCAGAGCCAGAGCAGAAAGTTGGAGCAGGTGTGGCCAACCATGCAATGGTGCCAAGTGGTGCCCAGTGGATCTCAGGGCCCCAGTGTCCCTGATGACTCTGATTAAAGCAGTTCCAGTGGAAATATGGGGAAGCAATCAGACTCCAGGCAGGTGAGTGGATGGAGGAAGTGAGTGCATAAAAGTCTTTCATGCAGTTGGTTGAGAAGGGAAGGAAAATGCATGAGGCTGGATATAAGGTGAGAATTCCTTCATATTTTAAAGATAGGAAGTGAGACTCAATGGATAAATGTTCATGCCCATGAAATGAGACATAAATTACAGCTAAAGATACATGAGAGAGGTGGTGGAAATGAGGAAGGAGGTCAGTGAGGAGTATGACCAGGTGACGTCAAGAGCAGAGACCACGGCTCTCCCTGTGCCTGGAAATAGGATGCCTTCAAGAGGAAGCTTGAAGCCATAGGCACATTTGAAAGTTTGTGGCAGGAAGTGGAAGGGTATTTATCACATGGGTTTTCCCTCCAGTTGGGATACTCAGCCAGATGGCACCAAAAAGAAATGTTGCCGTAGAAAGTGAAGATAGAGCCTCTGGTTGACAATGGGTGAGCAGGACTGGTGAGAAGCAAGTGCCCAGGCCCACAGGACACAGGTTCATCAGTGATGCTTTGCCAGAGCTGACAGTTGGGTACCCTTGTCATTCCAGCAGCCAGACTGGGATTTTCATGAAAACCTGAATTCCTAGACTTACATGGATAGAGTTTGAAGAGGGAGCATTGAACATTTAGATCAAAGTATTGATCATCTTCAGCAAGCAGCTTTTCAGATTTCTCAATGCAAATAATGATCTTTATTTTTCTCTTTTAGTGGCTGATACTAAGTTCAAACCAGACATTGTGTATCCTATCAAGGAGATCCTGGAAGTAGAACTTGGTAAGCTGGGTCAAGTTGTCACCCTGAACTCCTGTCCTTCCAGGAGCTGGTCTAAGTGTGATATAAGGAAAAGTGAGTTGGCCTTTAAGTCAAACAGAATTGTCTGTGGTTCAGCTCTGACTAGCTTTGGGGTCTCAAAGAGCTACTTATTCCTCCTCACCCCCAGCCTTTAGGTTTGTCCACGGGCATCACAAGACTGACTAGAGTGTTGCTTTGATGGGACAATCAACATATGATCAGTGGCTAGTGCATTCAACACGATCAGTAGTTTGGACTCTTCCAAGGAAGACTTGCTTGTATTTATTGGTTATGTCAATACATTTGCCAACTTGAGGAGCTTTAGCCCCATGAATGTGATGTTTGGTCTGGTCTTTAAAGGAACTACAATGGGACATTACAACCTCCACTCAAATTCCAAAATAGTGTCCTCTCAGGTAGAGGGGAAATTGACTCCCTTTGTGGGCTCCTTTCATTTGTCAAGTTCACTAGCATTTATGTCTTTCCTTATAGCAAAATAAGAATGGATGTATTTAACATCAAATGATTTTTCTTTTTAATAAATTGTGAGTGCTTTAAAATACTAACGTGAGATTTATTATTGTAGAAGAAAATTTAGAAACAAGTATTATGCTACAAATTTCCCCAGATGATGGAACTAGCAATGCTAATACAGCAAACATCTGAAGAATGGGAGGCAGTAATGATTTGGTCCATTTGCTCATTTTTTTGATTGGGTCATTTTTTGGGAGAGGAAGGGTGTTAAATTCAGCTATAAAGAATGAAATTGTGTCATTTGCAGGAAAATGAACAAATCTTCAGACAATAATATTGAGACAAACCAGACATAGAAAGCTTAACATGGTATGCTTTCTCTTACATGAGAAACCTAAAATATAAATAAAGAGAAAAATAAAGGAACGATGGTAGTTAAGAAGGAGGCAAACTTTTGGAGATAAGGAAGGGAGACCAGGGAAAGAGGGGAAAGCTGAGAGTGGGAGAAAGTTGGAAAATGATTAAGACATACACCAATCCTCCAAAATGAATGTAACTATTGCATATCCTAAGCATATACGAATAAAGAATAAAACTATAGGAAAAAATGGGAGGAAGGAAGAAAAAAATCAATTCAAATATGTAGTCAAGTTCCATATGGTATCAGTGAATTTAAAACAAGTTCGAGGTGCAGAGATTAGTCCTCAAAGGGTGCCCGGAGCCATTGGGTGGTTGGGATAATTTGAGGCAGAGCATATCTGGGTGTCCCTTGTGGAGAAGAGTCAAGGGAGGGCAGTCTGACAACATGCCTGGGGTGCCCTGATCATAAGAACAGCTGAGCGTCTACATGATTTCTTCATTACATGCTACAGTAACTTTGCGGTTTCATTTGACACACAAACATTGATTAGTGAAATGTTCCCTATTGATGCACCTTGTATTTCCACAGTGGTGGTGAAGACCTGGCTCACCCAAAATGCCCCACTTCCCTGGTGTCCGCCTCAGCCACATTGGGACCCTTAGGATACATTCATGCTGTTCTTCATGCTAACAACATACAGTCACATGTCTGAGACACAGACTTGCCCACAAGAGACAAATACACCAGGGCTCTGGGTTTGTGAGTGAGGTCTGTCAGTGTTTGGTTATTTCTGGTGCATGTGTCTCACCTGCAGACCTGGCCATGTAGGAATCTGTCTCTAGCTACACCTTCCTCCCTAGTCTGAAACTACGTATTCTCATGTGGTTCCTTCCTGTCTTCTCTGACCTCTTCATTTTCAGGAAAACCTTTAACTCTTCACTGCACAGTGCGATTTGGCTTCCAGAGGGACTTTAATCCTGTGATAAGGTGGTACATCAAAGACACTGACTGGGAATGGGAATTGCCAATATTTCAGGAAAAAAGGTAAGAAAAAAAATTAAGGAACTTTGGTCTTGGCAACAAAGACTAGATGTTTTCACCTTTAGAAATCATCAAAATATACATAGAGTTGATTATATTTAATGAGCTAGGCACCAGCACCAGCCAGTGGTGAGAATAAAAACACAGAATTGCAATGTATATGTTAATATTAAGTCTGGGGGCCATAGGGTTTCTGGTGACAGAGCTATCTCAGCTCTTGTTAAATGCACTCTGATATTCCCAAGGTGAAATCATCTCAGAACATGTCACTAAGCCATGAATCACTGTGTGAAAGCATTCTTTTGTTTTTGTTTGGGTTTGGTTGCTTTTGGTGCAGAGGATCGAATCCAGAACCATCCAGGGTGCTAAGCTCTACCACCGAGCTGCACTCCTTCCTGAAAGTGGTTTTAAAGCCTGATTTGGAGCAACAGTTTGAAGTGGGTGCTTTAAAAATCTAGCTAACCAGGCTGGGTGTAGTGGTGCACATCTTTAATTGCAGCACTCAGAAGGCTGAGACAGGAGCATCACTGCAAGTTTGAGGCCAGCTTGGGCTACATAGTGAGCTCCAGGCCAGGCTGAACTACACAGCCAGATTCTGTCTCAAAAAAAAAGAAAAGAAAGAAAAGAAAACAAAAAGAAAGAAAGGAAGAAAAGAAGGAAGAAAGGAAGGAAAGAAGGAAGGAAGGAAGGAATGAAGGAAGGAAGGAAGGAATCAAGTTGCCCAGCATATAGATATTCTGACTCAAGCTGCTTGGCAGAAGCAGCATGTCCAACTAGTGGAGGGGAGAGGATCTCGCCCCATTCCCTGGTTTCAGCAGTGCCCTGCATTCCGTGTGTCGGGGGTTCCAGGGACCCAGACTTACAGAACCATGAGAAGTTTGGAAAGTTTCTGGGGGAAGCATCACCCTAATATAGAGTCTGAAGAAAACAGAACAATAGTAGCAGCCACTTAAGCTGGTGGAGGGAGCTGAGCAGTGGGCTGTCTGTCTTGAAATAGGTGGGAGCTCTTCTATGAGAAAGTAGACTTAGCTTATTGCTGTCTGTAGCATAAAACCTACTTCAGTGGATGGAGTTTACTGGGGGGAGAGCTTATCCAGTGGAAAGCGGGGAGCTCTAGGCATTCAGAGCCATCTGAGCCCCACAGCTCATCACCTGTTCTCTGAAGGGACAGGCTTGGATCCATTGGGGTCATCTGCAAAGTCACTACAGGACGCATACCTGCATTTATGACCCACGGTCTGATTCAAAGTAGGGGTCTGTGCAGTAAATAAACGCCTTTGAAGTTTTAAAACACTTCAGCGGACATGTGAAATATCATTTTGAAAAGTATGCATCATCACAAAAAAGTTAAGAAAAGGTTTTGATAAGGATAACATTTAGCAAGGATTTCTGCAATCTGGGAAGTCACTGGGTCCCATCTGTAGGGGAAGTTGCCTGAGAGTCAAGGAGGCAGGGCATGTGAAGCGGGCTCCTTCAGTCCATCTCCAGCCTGCAGATAACAGTCTCCACTCTGCAGGGTCCCTGTGATGAGTGGCTACAGTAGGGGTGACATGCTTGTCCCCCCATGGCAGGTAGGAAGCATGCTGGGAATAAGAGCTGGTGCTTAGGCTGCTAGCAGCACAGCCTGCAACATCACCCACATAAGCAGTGTCTCTTGGGGGCAGAATGGTGGGAGGCAATTTTAGACAATTCAAATTATGAATAAATGCCAAGACTCACCACTCCTTGGATGGGATCTAGTGGTTCAGATCTGGGACCAGGCTCCACTTCCTAGGGGCATGTCTGGGGCTGCTTGCCTCCCTGTGTGAAGCAAGGAATAGAAGAGATTAGAGTCCATTTCTGGTTCTCAGAAGAGTCCTGTGTACACTAAAACATGAGCAGGAGTGAGTCATTTATAAATGATTGCTGCTATCTGTTCTCAAGGGGAATTGTGAAGAGTAAGGAAAGATGAGTCCAAAGTAGATTGGGTTTAGTGCTCATGCTCAGTGGTCAGTAAGTCAGGCAAGATGGCAGCCTTCTGTCTTTCTATCTACCTTGGTTCCTCTGTGGTCTTCTTTTTTTTTTGGTACCAGGGATTGAACTTGGGTCCTTGCGCTTCCGAGGCAGGCGGCGGAACCACTGAGCTAAATCCCTGGCCCCTTCGTTGTCTTTTTTTGGTACTGATCCCATGGTTCTTCTGAATGCTGAACTCCTGGCTGCTCTAAGAGCTCCAGACCCTGGCGGTGGGGGCCCACTGACGTGACTAGGCATGGAATTTTCCTTTCTTCCCTAGTATTAAATCCACTTTGGAGGAAGAAGTCATTGAATATGCTGTCCTCTTGAAAGAAGTCACACAGAGCGATTTGGGGCGGAAGTTTGTGTGCTTTGCCCAGAACTCCATTGGGAACACAACCCAGACCATCCGACTGAAGGAGAAGCAAGGAGGTGAGCTGGAAGTGGAGACTGGAGAATGTACACCCTTTGCTGAGTAGGGTGGCAGAGTGAAGAAGACAGAGTGGGATGTTTTCCAGGTGCTGGACTCTACTCAGCCACTTTGTTGGGTTAATCCATGTTCACCTTGCCCAATGTCATAGAGCTAATGAAGTCATGATTTGGACCTGAACCTCTTAACAAATGCTCTATGAAAAGCCTGCCTTTCATTTCCTCTCTCCTCCATCTACACACTTATTCTGCCCACATGGCCTACATGCCCGGCATTGTGCTAGTACTCAGCTGTCTTTGCTCTTTGCCTCCTAGCAGCTAGGCAGCATGGTAGGTCCATGTTTCTATGGATGGAGAATGGAGGAGGGAAGGAGTCCTCTTGCTCAGTGTCCAGAATGATGCATGCACAGACCGATCTTAGCCTTGTAAAAAGCTGGAGTAGAAACTCCAAGCAAAGAATAGCTTTTAAATGACTTCATGAAGACATCCAGAGATGAGTTGGCAACATTCATCCATTCATCCAGTTAACAACTGGCCATGGCACATGCAACTATGTGTGTTGGTGAGGCTCATAAGTAAGATGGAGCATGTCCCTGGCCTCTCATAGATGCTCTTGAAGATGGCCTCTTTCTGTAGAGGTTTGTAGGTACTTTGCCTCAGGAACTGAGCAGGGTGGCACGGTAAGCCAGACATGGCTCCTGGTCTCAGGGAGTTTCAACTTAGGTAAGGAAGGGAATATGTGAAAATAATTTACAATACACAATGAGAAGGATGCAGATGGGTTGTGCTGGAGTTATAGATTATGGATGACAATAAATAAAATGATGGTGATAGACATTTCAGGTCTTCCCAGCCAGGAAGTGCCATTCCCCTGAGTTCTCTAGAGTTGATGGTAGACGGTTCCCATCACCCTTGATTAAGAGGTTCCCAGATTCAAGACAAATGCTACCAGAGGCAGTGATTTTGATACGACTAGGGAGAAGAGGTGCTGGGCAGGCCGCAGTGCCACCAGAGAGGGTCAGGGCCCTCTGCTTCCTCTTCAAGGCTCATGGCCACTGTGTCCCCACAGTGGTGTTCCTGTACATCCTGCTTGGCACTGCCTTGACGCTAGTGGGTGTGCTGGTGGTGGGTGTCCTCGTCTACACCTACTGGATCGAAATCCTGCTGTTGTGCCGGACCTACAAGAGCAAGGATGAGACCCTCAGAGGTAAGGCCACCCCACATGTCACCCTCTGATTTCCCCTCCGAGTCCACCAACATAGGGCTCAGACCAGGACAGGAGACAAGTTCATTACTTCCGATGGCCTTGGTTTTCTTGGAGTTAACTTAGGAAAGAATTTCAGATGCCTCCTGCCACTGGGGCTGAGCCTGAGGGAGGATTTCAGGAATGGATGTTCCTGATGGGGGAATAGCAGCCCTGGGATTTAGAGTCCATGCGTGGTAGCCTTACACTGGGGACAGATGGGGAAATATTTCTTTGTTTCATTCCACTCACCAACAATCTTATAGATGATGCTATTTTGAGGCTGGTAGGACTGAAAAATAATCTTTCTGCACCATCCTGAGGCAATATGGCAAACAACATGTCCAGCCCTCAACACCTCTGTGTAGAATAGGGGTCGGATAGCTCCAGTTCAGAAGCAGGCTGTGAGAGCCCATTGGGAGAGATAAACAGAACTAAGCTTTCAGGATGGCTTCTCTGTATGTGGGCAAACTTAGCAGGTGCCAACTATGATCATTTCTTGAGGACTCCAGCATAGGCCTGTTACGTGTATTAGCTACTGTAATTGTCATGACCATCTGAATTTCTAAGCAGAGAAAGACATAGTCATGTGCCTAGAATTGAAGTCTGGAGGATGTCAGAGCTGGACTCTGGAGCAAGGGGTCATGTGGGACAGTGGGCACAGCTCAGAAAGCAGAAGGAAGGACAATAAAATGCAAGCATCCCTACTATTAGTGAACGCCTGTCAGTTTGGATGCAAGAGAGGAAATCATATTCATTAATGTGAGCTTCCTTAGACTAGAAAAGCAGCATTTTTTGTTTGTTTTTCTTCATCCTGGGATTCCCAGGGCAGAATATTTGCAGTTTTAGTGTATGGTTTTGTTCCTTGGAGAAAATCTAGGGAAAGACCAAGAGATATGTCAGGCCCTGGGTCCAACTCCTAGCACCAAAACAATCAAACAACCCCCCACAACCAAAAAGCAGGCCCAAACACGCTAACAAAAGCAAAGCAGCAACAAAAGATATGAACCGATCATGTCTTGTCATAGACCAACTACTGAGATCTCATCCTAGAAATCTACAAGCCACAAGTATTTTTGATATTGATTTATTTTTTCAAGATAGTTGGCTTTTTCTTGCATAAAGCTTTTTAACTCTTTAACTCTTCACTGCTTTCCTAGGTCATTTCATACTTCTTTTTCTGAAATGTCATTCACTGTAAAGCATCATCAGCTAACGGTGAAACATTTAAATGTCCCCTTTCTCATTTTACCATGCAAAGAACTCTTATTTTTTTTTCAGAAATTTTTTGTTGGTAGACAAATGGAAACAGGAAGTAATGGGAAAAGATCCCGCCAAAGAATCCACAATGACCTTCCCCTCAAATTCTGACATTGAGCTGCCTAAATTCTCTTTTACATTAAAAAAAAAAAATTTATAAGTACATATTTACAGTTCACGATTAAATTTCTGGTGGGGAGTCGGCACATGTACATAACACATCTTCACTCTTTTTAACCCCCACACTCCACCGGACCTCATGGTGCTGTTCACAGTAACCAAAGCACACATTTTCCACAATCAGACCAGGAGGCTGAACCCAGTTTTCAGGAGTGGTACAGCAGCGCCCTCTTCTGGCATAATTTGAGGTTTGCAGCAAAATGAATGCTTTGAAGCTAAGATTGAGCATCCAAAATTAATTTGGAGAGACAGGGCATGTTAGAATGGTGGAGGATCTAAGTGGTTTAGTTTCCAGATGATGTAAAGTTGCTAGTGTGCTAGGGATTTAATGGAGATGGAAGGAGAGGGACTGACCATGGTGCATTAGATATTTGATTGCAGGCTGGCCCAAATCCACGCCTGCATCTCCTTTCAGCTGCGATGCTTGGCTGCAGACATGGCCCCAGGACCTGGGTGCCCTGGTGCCAGCCTTTCTGTCCCCGCAGATCCACACTGAGCACGTGCATGCTGGGCATTCCCAGGCCCAGCTGCTTTGTAACAATACTGTTTGACATCACCTGTGAGCTAACTTCTGGATTCTTCTGCCTCTGCCAGTTTGTATTTAGTCACTTCCCTGTTGCTGGGACAAAATACGCAACACCTGAAACTTAGAGGAGGAGAGATTCATACCATATGGTTCAGGCATCTGTATGTGAACTGTGACTGAGGAAAAACTGGAAATGGCTGATGTTTTGCATTGTTCTCCTCCCTCAGATAAAAAGGAATTTGATGCTTTCGTGTCCTATGCAAAATGGAGCTCTCTGGGGATCGAGGACCCTTCACCTCTCAGTGAGGAACACTTGGCCCTGAGTCTGTTTCCAGAGGTCTTGGAAAACAAATATGGATTTACTTTATGTTTGCTTGAGAGAGATGTGGCCCCCGGGGGAGGTAGGTCCTGGGTACCCAGGAAGAATTCCAGCTCACAAAGGGCAACAAGTTTCAGCGATGAGTTTGTCCTGCCATAGCTTATGGACGCTCACCTGAGCCAACATCACAGAAAAACTTGACCAAGAGACAGCCTCCATCATTGGAAAGTCCACTTTCAGAAGAAAAACAAAAACAAGACAGCACCCTAGGAGGCTGTTCAGAACAAAGATGTCTTTCCTAGACTCTGAGCAGGAAGTCATCTCTGTCATCACCAAAAGTTGGCCCTCCTGGTGTCTAGAACACTGCCATCCATAATCCTTAGCACTGGGCCAAGCAGGGTCCTTTGTGGGAGCCACCCATGTGACTTCCTGGCCACTGTGGGTCTGTTGATCTCCTCTCCCTCATCAGGGCTCTTGGGCACCCATGACCCTAGAGTTCCAGCCTGCCCAGTTCCAGTGAGTTTGGCTCACAGAGAAATTGACAATTTGGGGATACAGAACATCAAAGGAGCATGATGAAATTGAGAGTCACTAGAGACAGGCAGAGATCCTCACCAGTTTGTAGAGTTGACACAGTAAAAATGACAGCCTGGAAGCAGAGAGAGAGAGAGAGAGAGAGAGAGAGAGAGAGAGAGAGGGCCTGGGGACATGAATATCCCCTTCCACATCTCCTTTCCTCTGTGCCTAGGAGCCTCCATTGTGTGTAGGGGGGTGACTACACCTGGCAGGGTCAAGCTTACTGTGACTTGAGGTTTAACCATCTCAATTACAAATCATAATTATTATTTTTATCCCCAGTGTATGCAGAAGACATTGTGAGCATCATTAAGAAAAGCAGAAGAGGAATATTTATCTTGAGCCCCAACTATATTAATGGCCCCAGAGTCTTTGAACTTCAAGCAGCTGTGAATCTGGCCTTGAACGACCAAATGCTGAAACTCATTTTAATTAAATTCTGTTCCTTCCAAGAACCAGAATCTCTACCTCATCTTGTGAAAAAAGCTCTCAGGGTTTTGCCAACTGTCACCTGGAGAGGCCTAAAATCAGTTCATCCCAATTCGAGGTTCTGGACCCAGGTGTGCTACTACATGCCTGTGAAGGGCTCATGATGATTCCCATGGAACCAGCTCAGGACCATCCCAAGGGGTTTCTCTCCAGAAGGTACTCAGTGGATCAGAACTGCTGGGAGGAGCCCCCAGCCTGGGGAACAGGACAACTGGAAGCCTCCCTCTCTGCCCCAGGAGGAGGGGAGAGGCTGACTGGGTGATTGCACTGCATGGAGGGGCTCATGGCAAACAGCTTCCTCCTGCCACCCCACGCTAGCAGGCTGGGTAGCCCCTGTAAAGTGCCAAAGCTGCTGCAGAGAGCTGCTGATTTCCTGGACTGGGTGAGGAAAGCGACTCTCTGGACCACTCCACATATTCAGTGCACTGCACCCCAAGATTGTCCAAGGAGCCTGGGCTAAGTCAGCAGGAACTCCAGCTCCTGCCTTGGCCGTGGAGCCTAGCGTGACAGAGCTGTGTTTTCAGGGCTGTGGCCATTGGCGTTACATAAATGTTACTTTAAGCATTATATTATTTAAACATTTATTAGTGCATGTTTGCACGACACGATCTTTACATTCCCCATGTGGCATTCGTGCATCTATACAACACATCTTCATTCCTTTTTAGCTGCCCCCCCAACTCCTGGTCCTGTGCTCATTTGTGAGAGAGTATATCATTTGATATACTATTATCTATCTTTTATTTTTCCCTTTATTTATACTTTGGTTTCTTATATAAAAGAAACCATGTGATACTTAAGGCCATGTGTCTGATTTATGCCAATTAACATTATGATCTCAAGGTGCATCCATTTTTCTACAAATAACTCAACTTTATCCTTCTTTATGGTAGAGTGGTACTCCACAGTGTATAAATACCACACTTTCATTATCCATTCATCTGTTGATGGACACATAGCCTGCTTCCAAGATTTAGCTGTTATGAGTTGTGCTGATATAAACATGGGTATGCATGGATCACTGTAATAAGATTCCATTTTACCCAGAAACAATGACCATATCAAGAAATCCTATATAATAAATGCTGGTAAGCCTTTGGGGAACACTTCTATGTTGTTGGTAGGAATGATTTCCATAGGAACCACTATGGAAATCATTACAGAAATTCCTAAAAAAACTATGACTAGAAATCCCATTTGACAGTAGAGTAGCTGGATACAAGGCCAACGCTCAAAAAACAATAGCCTTCTTGTACACAAATAGACTCACTGAGAAAGAAATTAGGGAAACAATTCCTTTTACAATAGCATCCAAAAACATGAAATATCTAGGAATCAGCCTAACAAAGGAAGTAAAAGACCTCTACAAAGAAAACTACAGCACTCTGAAAAAAGAGATCAAAGAGGATATAAGGAAATGTAAAGACATCCTTTGTTCCTGGGTAGGAAGAACCAATATAGTGAAAATGGTCATACTTCCAAAACTGCTATATAGATTTAATGCAATGCTGATTGAAATTCCAAGAATATTTTTCACAGAACTAGAGAAAACAATCCAAAAATTCATTTGGAACCAGAAGAGACCTAGAATAGCAAAAGCAATTTGAGACAACAGAGACATGGCAGGGGGTATCAAAAGCCTCAACTTACAAAGCTACTGTGATAAAAACAACATGGTACTGGCAAAGAAATAGACCTGAGGATCAGTGGAACAGATTAGAAGATGCAGAAAGAAGTCCAGACATATTCAGCCACCTCATCTTTGTTTGTTTTTTGTTTTTTTGGTACCAGGGATTGAACTCGAGACCTTGCGCTTGCAAGGCAGGCAGTGGAACCACTGAGCTAAATCCCTGACCCTTGCCACCTCATCTTTAACAAAGGAGCCAACCACCCTCACTGGAGGAAAGGTAGCCTATTTAATAAATGGTGTTGGAAAAACTGGATTTCAACCTGCCAAAGATTAAAACTAGACCGTATCTATCACCATGCACTAAACTAAGATCAAAGTGGATTAAAGATGTAAATATTAAAACAGAAACACTAAACTTGCTGGAAAATAAGCTAGGTAGAACTCTTGAAGACACTGAATTGGCACAGACAAAGACTTTATGAACAAAACCTCAGTAGCACGGGAACTAGGACAAAGAATCAACAACTGGGATCTCATCTTATTAAAAAGCTTCTGTACTGCAAGAGAAACCATCAACAGAACTAAGACAACTTACAATGTGGGAAAAAATTTTTAGTAGCTGTACCTCAGACAAAGGACTACTATCTAGAAATATATAAAGAACTGAAAAAAAATAAGACCCCCCCCAAATTCAAAAACCCAATTCAAAAATGTGCATCTGGAATGAACAGACATTTCTCAGACAAAGAAATAAAAGCAGCAAATAAACATATGAAAAAATATTCAACATCACTGGTCATTCAAGAGATGTAGATGAAAACAACACTGAGATTCCACCTCAACCCAGAAAGAATGGCTGCTATCAAGAAATCAACCAATAACAAATGCTGGTGGGGGTGAGAGGAGAAAGGAACCCTTCTCCATTGTTGGTGGGAGTGCAGACTGGTGCAACCACTGTGGAAGTGAGTACAGAGATATCTCAAAGAACTAGGACAAGAGGTCTCATTTGATCCAGGTATTACCCTGCTGGGTATCTTCCCAAAAGAATTAAAAGAATCTTACCACAGCGATATATGTGCACTTATGTTTATAGCGGCATAGTTTATAACAGTGAAAGCTTGGAAACAGCCCAAATGCCCTTCAACCGGAAACTGGATAAAAAAGATGTGGTTTTTTAAATAAAATGGAGTATTACTCAGCCAGCCATAAAGAACAAGAAACTAGAGACATTTTATAGGCAAATGGATACATATCGAGGCCATACTCTTAAGTGAAATAAATAGGACACACATGTGTAAATACTAATAGTTTCTCTGGTGTGAGACACTGAAAGTGTAAATAAGGATTAAAATGAATAATTGATAATTTGAAACAGGAAGAAAAGGTCTAAAGGGGTAGGGGAAGTTGGAGGGGAAAGGGAAAGGTAAGAAGGGAAAGAAAAAATGATGAGAAATGGAAAAAATGGAAATAAAGTGTTTGTAAATAGGGAAGGGTGGAGGGGGTGAAGGGAGGACAGGGAATGGGGAAAAAATAAGAAGCAAGATACATCATGTACAGGTACAAGCACCCAATGATAAATGTAAATATATTGTATACTTAAAATGTACCAATAAAAAAATTTAAGCAAAAATAAATAAGTAAGTAAGTAAGTAAATAAATAAATAAATAAAAGAAATCCCATTTGATCCAGCTACTCCCGTTCTACATACCTTCCCCCTTTCTGTTTCCTGAGCTGTGTTCACATTCTACACGAGGGGCACAGAAGGAAGGACAAGAGGTGGCAGAGTCAGGGCTATGGTCAGTCTTTGTTGGGTCTTTATGGGCAGTGGCCACTCTGGGCATCAGAGCTGCACGTTCGTCTAGACTCACAATGGGGCGATGTTCCTAGGAGCCCAGTGTCCTTGAGAACATCAGAAGCAAAGTGCACACGGCGCACTTTGCCCACCGAATGTCCTAGCTGAACACCCAGCACTGTGCAGAGCTTTGGTCCACTCGTGAACATGAAGCAGCTGGGCACTGTACCTGCTGCCAGGCCCAGCCTCTCAGGACAGGGTCACACCATCTCAGTAGCCTGGGAAAGAGCCACACTGAGGCGCAAGTATGCGTTCTACTCAGTGTATGTCACTTTCGCAACATGATAAAGTTGAAAACAGTTAAGTGAAGTCATCATAAGTTGGGGACACAGGTGGAGGATGGAGCCTGTTCCTGGGGGCTGGGGGTGGTTCGATCTCTGCCGGGATATCAGCTGAAGAGCAGGCAGGGCTCAGCTCAGCTCCTCTTGTCGCTGTGCCAGAGACCGTTATGCAGAGCCTCTGTGTACGATTGATTTTGCTCTTGGGCGCTGGATGAAGGGGCCAGCAATAGTTGGTCAAGGGAAGAGACGGGACTGGACCGGCTGTTTGCACATGCTGGAGAGGCAGCGAGGAGAGGAGACTAAGCAGGCCAGCTGTGTCTGGGAAACACGGGGACCCAGCAGCAAAAAGGCAGCTGGAATGGAGCTGGGAGAGGCTTTGGTTGGAGCCCTCTGCCTGGGATCCCTCACCCGCTGTGTGTGTTCCAGGATTGTGGCCTCAGGCTCAGTCCTTCTACGTACGGAGTACTGTGTGGAAGGCCAAGTTGTTGTTCCTGATAACAAGGCCATCTCATTCCTGTGTCTGCTTTTCTTAGGAGAGTTCAGCCTGCAGCCGGAAGAGTGCTCTACTCCTGCTTGGGGGACAACCTTCCCATGCTGTCTTCCCTGATGGGCTGGGTGGGTTGGGAAGGGCTGGGACAGGAGGGGTCCCCAGCTGGGCAGTGAAGGGAAGCAGCGCTGAGCTGACTCCCAGAATGTGTCACACTCAGTGGTCTGGATGTGACCCAAGCTCAGACTGGGGAAGGCATTGTCATGTGGTCGCACAGTGCCTGTGTGATCTTTCTTCTCAGGGGGAGGCACCCATATCAGACAGACCACTGTGGCTTTGCCACCAAGCGACATTGTTGTTGGAAATTTCAGTGTAAAGGTTAAAGAGGAGCTGAAGGATATAAATTAGGCCTGGGGAAGTTTCTGGGCCGGATCACTGTGGGTCTCTGGGGAGAACCACACTGCTGGGCCACTGTGTTTTGGCCGTGGCCAGGACCCTGGGTTCCCTGCCAGCCTCTCCCAGCGATCTCAGGCTCAGGAAGCTCAAGTGACTCCCAGAGGTCTCTGCTGTCTCAGAGCTGCTGGGAGGTCTGGGGCTCTGACCTTGGCTTCCAGAGAGAGCCTCAGGGTGCTCACACACAGGAAGAGATCTACCAAGCACCAACATCGATAGGAGGTACTCTTTCCAGGTTGGCAGGTGCATGGCAGATAACGGACGGCACTGAGGAGAAGAGGTTATTTATATTTTCTACATGGAGATCAACCGAGTTGTCTAAGATTAGGAGACCATACTCCCACAGTTGGCCTCTGCAAGTACAATTAGAAGGGTGTTATTTTCGAGTGCATCTTCTGAGTTTAAGGTGGCCATGTGTTCTGGCCCCTGGTTTATACCTGTTGTCCAAGTGCTTTCTTTCACTCTCTGAATGTGTGTTTTCATTTGGAAGGTGGGTGTCCAGCCTCCAGCACAGATGGTAGCCTCTCCTTCCTGGGCCTGTGTGGTGTCTCAGGCAGTTTTCACAGGCTTCCTGGTCACCGTTGGATCGAAGGCTGGTATTCACTGTCTGTCTTACATCTGGGCTGTCACCCAGGTAAGATGGCGCAGACATGCCCTACCCTAATGCTCCTCGTTACAGCTATAAAACGGGGGAAAATGCAGAGACAATCAGTTTGGGGATGGTCAAAAGTAATCAGAATTAGGATGATTGGGAAAGATAAAAATTAAATGTCTTACAGTTCGATTTCCCTCCAATTTCCCTGACTTAATGTCACCCTTTGAGTCCCGTGAATGGATCACAGGATGACAGGGAGAGGTATAGATGGCTTTCGGCTCTGGCCTCTATCCATGCCTTCCTCTCTGTCCCTGTGTCCCGGTCATGGAGGCCCCAGAGTCAGGGCATCTGCGCTGCACTGTGGGTGAAGGGCCTTCCAGCCCTCCGGCCAGAGAACTGCAAAGAGGAGCCCAGGAGCCTTATGACCAGGGAGCACTGTGGAGGAGAGAGAGAGAGAGAGAGAGAGAGAGAGAGAGAGAGAGAGAGGGAGAGAAAGGCCCAGGA